TGCGAGTATTTTAGCTGTCGACGTAACAAATCTTAATTTCCCTTTCAATGGTAAATCAAACTTAATCTCATGCCTACAGGCTCAGTCAGATACGGATTACTGCGGCTTTAAATAAAAACTTTGTAACCATTTTCCCAAGAAGGGCCATGGTTTTATGGTTGGATCTTTTTAGCTCGCCAAAAGTTAGAGTAACAATTATTAGAAGAAGTAGGCTTGCTCACGTGTATGAGAAAATTATTCGCCTGATGTTTCCGAGCTACGCTCGAGGTTTCCACGAGTAAGGAAATTGCAGTATTTTTAACCTGCAGTCATTATGCTGCTTCATACCTATGAAAATGAACTGTTCCTCCTTTATTAAGGCAATCATTCTCGTTGAAAACGACTAAATCTCTTGTCGTAGCGATCGCGTCTACATCTTCTCAATTACGTCCTGTGACTCATCTTTTCGCATGTAGCAGCAGTGACGGTTATGCTAGTAAACAACGAAGTCACCAAGCATTTTACGATGTAGGCGTTAAGAACAAGAGAATTGACAAAACTCTTAAAATTATTATGTTTTATCTTTTCTTTTACCTTTCGTACGATATTTATATATTAAGCATAAATTATAAAAATATGAAATAATTATTCAGCGCGTGCAGCAGGAAAATATTTGGTAAAGGCAACACTCAAATATTAAAATGCTGTAATTGGTCTATTCGGAGGATAGCAATTTGAGAACTCTTCAAGTTGATTATCTGGGTGAAATTTCTAAGTGCGATTTAATTGCAAAACGTTCCGAAAGTTAATGTTTAACGCGTTGTGATTTCTTATTTTTACGACATCATTATCGACCGGGTCGAATCAACTTCCTTTTAAGCCGTATACTACAGTCAATAAATGTTCTTGATTTAAGTATTGTGGCCCTAGGTATCCGTACAAAATTCCAGCAAGCACGTTTATAGCCCTTACATCCAATTACTTTTTCGACTTGAACCTATGACACCTTCTATTTGGCTTTTGCTATTTTGATGCGTTGTGGATATTAACTTGTAAAAATGTCTGTTCCTTCTGCCATGCACCATTCAGCTGTTTCAGTTGGCCAGCCAGTGAGTGATAGAACTGGATGTTATGATTGGTGTGATATAAAAACCTATGCCTGAGCCGCGTGTAGACGGTAGTTATAATCTCCCAGAGATACCACGCTGCTCCATAAATGTGTGTTGTGAGCCAGACTGCGCCAGCACAGTTGCAGCGTGGCACTCTGCCAGGTAGAAGGTTGACGGTCGAAAGTCGCAGTCACGGACTCGTGTAACATCTAGCGTACTCGCCTTCCTCACTAACCTCCTTTCGATGACAAGGCGGCCAGTGACTGACAAAGCAAAATGGCCGGTCGATTGGCCGTTTTCTAAGCCACAACGCTTAGCACGTTGTGATAGACTTATGCGTGTAAAAGTTATCACCCCGAGGAATGTGCTAACCTGGCGTGGGGGGGAGGCCCCAGCATCGACCTCAGCCAATCTCCCCGACTCACATGAACCAGTTGACCTTCTGAGATTCTCTGTCAACCTGTGGTCGTCACAGTGGTTGAAGCAGCGCGAAGGGCATTTCACCTGCCTGTACGGTAGTGTGGATGGGCTCGTGCGCACTTAGCTCAGTCCGATAAACGGGGGCTGTTACCGGGTAGAATTCCGCTTTGGAATCAGCCCAGCTGCAGCGTCGACCGCTGTGGGGATTATGAGCAAAAGCATAAGCATAAGACAAGTGATGGAAGACTTTGGTAGGAGCACAAAACTGGATAGATAAGACATCTAAACAGCCATCTATCAAGTAAATCTGATGGAATAACTGGGTTATCTCGAGCTTTCCCGAAAAGATGTCTGTTAAGGAAGGATCTATACTCTGCTTCGTTGGACTGGCGGTAAACTGACCATGCATTGCTGTGCGGTCCTGATTAGCAATAATCATAGAAGTATCTTTGTCGATTGTGCCTGCAGGGATATTTAAGTGGATCTCAAGTCACAATTACCACATATGTTCTACTAGTCCATTCTAAACCTCCTCTCTGATTAAACTGTTGTCTTTTATGACAATCCCTGCAGTATAGTGCGACAGTATCCTCTAGCTTACGGTGCATGTGTCCGTCGTTTTGTCTTATTTTAGACGCCGCCAGCGAAAGTAACCGAAGAAGGCGCCAGAGTCTCGGAAAATATTGAAGAAAAGCCCTGTGCGGAATTATGTCAGGCTGAATCAACAACGTCTGATAACACGCTGTCAGAGGTAAGTTAAACGCCTCTTGTTTTGCTCTAAAAGGCATTGAATTACGCCCTGCTCACGAATCTAGTCCTGACATGTCGTACTTACCGTGTAAAGAATTGTAACATACTTACACTGATCTTAAAATTTGTCCTTCAGGCTGAAAAAGTCTGAGTGAACATCTACATTCTATTAAATAGAAGTAGCATGGCTCTTGTATCTGTCACTTTCGGACTGTGTACACGATTTTTTAATTTTGTTTGATATAGACATAATATTTTCTTTTAAATTAAAAGCAAATA